CCACCGTGCACGAACTCCTCTTCGCCGACGACTGCGCCCTGAACACCACCTCGGAAGAGGAGATGCAACGGAGCATGGACCTGTTCTCCGCCGCCTGCGAGAACTTCGGTCTGGTCATCAACACACAGAAGACCGTGGTGATACACCAACCGCCACCCCACTCAGTCACAGTCCCCAAAGCGCCGCCGCAAATCAGCGTGAATGGTACCCAACTGCAAGTGGTGGAGAACTTCCCGTACCTGGGCAGTACTCTCTCCCGCAACACCAAGATCGACGACGAAGTCGCCAACAGGATCTCGAAAGCCAGTCAAGCCTTCGGTAGCCTCCAAAGCGCAGTTTGGAATCGCCACGGTCTTCAGCTGAGCACGAAGCTGAAGATGTACAAGTCCGTCATCCTACCGACACTACTGTATGGAGCGGAGACTTGGACGGTGTACGCAAAACAGGCACGCCTTCTGAACTACTTCCACCTCAGTTGTCTTCGTCGCATCCTGCGGCTGAACTGGCAGGATCGCATCCCCGACACGGATGTGCTGGAACGGACGGGAATCCCCAGCATCTACGCCATACTGAGGCAAATTCAGCTGCGCTGGAGCGGCCACCTAGTGCGCATGGACGACGAGCGACTACCCAAACGACTCTTCTACGGAGACGTCGCGACGGGTTCTCGCCGTCAAGGAGGCCAGATTCGCCGTTACAAGGATACCCTGAAGTCCTCCCTGAAACGCCTGCAAATCAACCCCACCAACTGGGAGGAGCTCGCACTCGATCGACCGACCCGGATGAGGACAGTGAAGACAGGCGCTGCGATCTACGAAGCCAACCGCATCGCTGCCGCCAAAGCGAAATGCGAAGCCCGCAAATCACCACTTCGCCCAGTAAGCAACGCCTCCGAACAACCGCTTCCAACGTGTCCTCGATGTCAACGGACATTCCGGGCTCGAATCGGACTTGTTGGACATCTTCGGATTAACTGCGCCTCTCGAACGGCATTAACCACCGTCCCCCCGCCTGCCTCTTCCTCCTCCTCCTCTCCGCCGCCAACTAACTCTGGCAATTCTTCTGACCCCCCACTTCCATCCTCCTCCTCCTCGTCCTCGCCCTCGTCCTCCTTCTCCTCCTCCTCCTCTTCCTTCTCCTCCTCCTCATCCTCCTCCTCCTTCTTCTCCTACTCCTCCTTCTCCTCCTCCCCCTCCTCATCCTCCTCCACCACTGCCCCAACGGCGGCCGCTCAGGCGGCCGTCTGGCACATCACCAACCGCGACACAACAACAGACACCACCCTTACCTCTCCCGACTCCAGCGATGAGGATCAGGACAACAGCTGCCCTCACTGCGACCGTACCTTCACCTCACACATCGGCCTGGTCGGTCACTTGCGAATCCATCGCACAGAGACTGGCGAGCCAGTGCATGGAGCACCAACCTACACACACCGCACTCGTCTCCACTGCCCACACTGCCCTCGCACCTCCACGCATCGCATGGGTCTATTCGGCCACATGCTCATTCACGAGAGCGGAATTGACCACAATTCTGACACACCCACCACATCCAACACACCGACCAGGCCCAGCACCACCCTCGCTCCATCGCCACACGCGCCCATCACCACCACCACCACCGCTTCCTCTGTAGCTAACACCTACAACGTCGACCTCTCATGCCCACACTGTCCACGCACATTCACCTCACGCATCGGCCTGGTCGGTCACTTGCGAATCCATCGCACAGAGACTGGCGAACCAGTGCCTGGAGCACCAACCTACACCCACCAAGCTCGTCTCAACTGTCCACACTGCCCTCGCACTTCCAGGCATCGCATGGGCCTATTCGGACACATGCGCATCCACGTCGACATGCGGTAGACAACCGCCGGCCACACCACACATTCACTCACTCCCTACCTCCTCCACCACCACCATCACCCCACCAGAAATCAACACTCACACACCTCATGCACCCAACTGCCACCTCCCACGCAAGTGGGAAGTCCGCATCTCGACTCGGTCCCCATGCGGCCTCGGCTGCACGGGTGACTTGAGTCCGAGACTATCCCGACACGTCAAGCGTCGTGGATAGGAAGGTTGCTGATTGACGCCCGCTCTCGGCTCACACAGTTCATCGCGTTGTGTGTGTGTGTGTGTTGTGTGGAGTGGCGGACTGATGGGCTGGGGACGGGCTGAAGCTGCACCTTCCACGGCCCTCTCACGCAAGTGAGAGACACGCCGTTCAACCCCCGTTGTGTGAAATCCTGGTGTTGTGTGTATGGGGGGCCAGGTCGTGCCGTGGCGCGCGCAGTCATGGTTAGTCGACCATGACAGCCACTGCGCACACTCCCCACTCCAGTCTGCTGACCGGCTCGGACAGCGCCTGGGGTGTGGGAGTGGGAAGGGAGAGTGAGGTCGACGACTCAGCGCACTTTCTTCTCACTATAAACAATCTGACGCGCTTGAAGCTATCACGGTGCGCTAAAAGCCGTGGCTTGGAAGGTTGCCAACTGACGGGGTAACTTAGACCTCCTCCTTGACTGGAGGAGGTCTGAGAGTCAGGCTGCAATGGCTCCTTATTAATGTGGCCTTTATGCCACTCCCACCACAGTGTGGGATCCGAGCCAGGCGTTGGCGGTACGCCTAGGTGCGGCTTCGGTCGTGCCAGCCTCCAAATCTCCGTTGTTGGTTGAAATCCTGATTATTGTTGTGTGGACCAGAGGGTGTGATGGAACGCCAAGGTGAGGATCCGTCCGAGCCTGTCTTCATTGTTCTCCTCCAGGTCGGTCGATCGAGTGCGAGCTCCTCCCAGTTGGTGGGGTTGATTTGCAGGCATTTCAGGGAGGACTTCAGGGTATCCTTGTAACGGCGAATCTGGCCTCCTTGACGGCGAGAACCCGTCGCGACGTCTCCGTAGAAGAGTCGTTTGGGTAGTCGCTCGTCGTCCATGCGCACTAGGTGGCCGCTCCAGCGCAGCTGAATTTGCCTCAGTATGGCGTAGATGCTGAGGATTCCCGTCCGTTCCAGCACATCCGTGTCGGGGATGCGATCCTGCCAGTTCAGCTTCAGGATGCGACGAAGACAACTGAGGTGTAAGTAGTTTAGACGACGTGCCTGCTTTGCGTACACCGTCCAAGTCTCCGCTCCATACAGTAGCGTCGGCAGGATGACGGCCTTGTACATCTTCAGCTTCGTGCTCAGTTGGAGACCATGACGATTTCAAACTGTGCTTTGGAGGCGTCCGAAGGCTTGACTGGCTTTCGAGATCCTGTTGGCGACTTCGTCGTCGATCTTGGTGTTTCGGGAGAGAGTACTGCCCAGGTACGGGAAGTTCTCCACCACTTGCAGTTGGGTACCATTCACGCTGATTTGCGGCGGCGCGTTGGGGGCTGTGGCCGAGTTGGGTGGCAGTTGCTGCATCACCACGGTCTTCTGTGTGTTGATGACCAGACCGAAGTTCTCGCAGGCGGCGGAGAACAGGTCCATGCTCCGTTGCATCTCCTCTTCCGAGGTGGTGTTCAGGGCGCAGTCGTCGGCGAAGAGGAGTTCGTGCACGGTGG